ACGACAGCTTCCATACTGAGGGAATGCGCTCGCGTGATCACCGACGAGGAAAAGGAAATAAAAAAGTAATTAATTCAAAAAACCTGTTACATTTTATAATTTTCCTGTGTGCAAAATCGTGTAAAAAAAGCATAGATCTCAGCTTTTAACCTCGCTATTCCGTACCGATTTCTATTATATCTTTTTATCGTTGCAAGAATTACGAACATTATATAATTTATGTATATATATATACTATATAATATTATATAATTTATATATATACTATATAATTTTATATAATTTATATATACTATATAATATTATTTATTATAAAATTATAACTCTTGAATATTTATCACCGAATATCGTTTAATTTTGTCCATGTATTCCCACTGAATCGCGCAGATTAAAAATGTTGGCGGAAGGAGGATTCGATCCATCTTCGATCGTCCGGCTGGAAGAAGAAGAACGCGAACGAAAGAAACTGATCGAATTGTCGAAAGTGGAAGAGAAACATCTGTTGGCCCTGATAAGCCGCGAGGGCGCATTTATCGCGAAACAATCTTTGTTGAACGGCTGTAAACAGCAAGCGGAATGTGTGCGGAAAGAGGTTGTATGCCTATTTTGCTTGGCCTTTACGTGTAAACGTTGCTAACAAACCGTTGCCGTCACGTTGCTCGCAATGGTCGCATTGTCGAATGGAATTCTCCGTCCGTTGCTTCCGATTTTATAAATATTATAGTATTATAGTATATAATTTGAGTATATATTATAGTATTTTTTTTGTTGTATTTATGTATTATTTAGTGGTGAAAATATATGAAATTTAAAATAATGAAAATATTATGAGAATTTAGGGACGTCTACTTATTGTTTTCAATTTGCTGAGATTGTTGGAAGAAAGAAAGAAATTTTTATTGGATCCATATTTATTGAAATTGATTGAGATCAGTTCTATTTTGCATGAAGAACCGCAGTTCTGAAGAATTGAAATATCATATTATAAAGAATTGAGATATCATATTCTAAAGAATTGAAGTATCATATTCTAAAGAATTGTAATATCATATTCCAAAGAATTGAAATATATTGTAAAGAATTCAGATATCATATTCTAAAGAATTGATGTATCATATTGTAAAGAATTGTGATATCATATTCTAAAGAATTGAGAAATATCATATTATAAAGAATTGAGATATTATATTCTAAAGAATTGAAATATCATATTCTAATGAATTATGATATCATTTTCTAAAGAATTGAAATATCATATTGTAAAGAATTGAGATATTATATTCTAAAGAATGGAGAAGTATCATATTATAAAGAATTGAGATATTATATTCTAAAGAATGGAA